TAATACAGTTAATTTAAACAATTATTTTATGATAAAACTCATATTAAACAACACTTTATTGGATCACAAGAAAACTCTGCCTGCAATTCCACTATGAACTCTCAGATAGTGAAGAGTATGAAATTTCATCAAAACCAATGTCTATTGAACAAAATGATGTTTGTTTCTTGGTTTTCAAATAATATAGAAATTCAATCAATGGAATAGTACGACTCAATAGACGATATTCTTGCAATTATAATTGGTGGTTGCCGTGATCTCTTTTCTTTCACCAAGATTAAAACAATAATAGAGTTGTTAATCTAATCTTATATAAATAGTTTTCTGTTTTTCTTCAATGTTTCAAATTATATTTTATTACAATAACTTTCTAAGAAAGAAAAAATAAATTCCTTTGTTTGTCTTAATATTTCTAAGAAATAAAAGATGACTTAAGACGGAATTCTAATTACGAAAAATATACGATGAAAATGACTAACTTTCAATGATTCTACTTTTTTCTGTAAATAAAGGTTTAAGAAGTTTCTTCCTGTAGTTTAACCAAAAAAAAAAATAATAAAAAAAATTTCTAAATATCTAGATTTCCAATAAATATGTTATCAATTGGTCTTATTATATTTATAATATTTTTTATAACTGCTCTGAGCAATTATTGCCAAGCACCACTTCCCAAGATCGTTTCAGTTCCTAAAGGATACAATTTAATATTTGTACAAACATTAACTAGACATGGTGATAGAAGTCCTATGAATTCATTTGATCAAGACGATGCATTTTATAATTGTAGTGGAACAATATTATCTAGTGTAAGAGAAAGTGAGTCAATAGGGAAAGCTGGTGATACATTAAGGATAAATGTTATTGATAAAAATACTAACCCATATGCTAAAAACTATATGTGGAAAGGAAGTTGTGAAGTTTCTCAGTTGACTGTTAAAGGAATAAGACAACACCACAACTTAGGAATATATCAACGAAAAAAATACTTGGATATGGGATTTCTTCCCATTGAATATGACCCTAAAAAGATTTATATTAGAAGTACAGAACGTAGTAGAACTATTCAATCATCTCAAGCCTTTAGTCAAACATTTTATCCACCAGAAACAAGAATACAAGAAAAAGTAATTCCGATATATGTTGTTCCAAAAGATATTGAAATAATGTTTCCTAATAGGGAGCTTTGCAATGAAATTAATAAAAGAGAAAAAGATACTTATAAGATTGCTCTTGTTAGTCAAACTCGTTTATCAATTCAACAAGTTGAAAAAAAAGCAATTAGAGTACTTGGATTTAAGTCAAAATATAATTGGTTAGAAGATTATGTTGATATTATGAATTGTAGAATATGTCACAATATATCCTTACCATGTAGAAATGGAGAGTGTTTAACTATTGAGGATTATAATCAATTATGGTACCAAACTCAATTAGAAAATAGATATTTATTTAGAACTGATGGATTGGCTCAATTACAAATTGGGTTGTTTGTTAAAGAACTAATTGATAGAGCAGATATGGCATTAAATGGTACAAGTACATATGTTTACGAACATTATACTGGTCATGATTCAACATTAATGCCATACCTTGCATTAATTGGACAAGATGTATTCACATGGCCACCATATGCCAGTCATATTGACATTGAAATTTATTCATTTGAAGGAGAAAGGTATATAAGAGTGGTATATAATAATAAAGTTGTGTCATTACCTATATGTCATCAAGTAGATGGTTTTTGTAAATGGGAAGAATATAAAGACTATTTATTAAAGAATGGAATAGTGTCAATGAATGAATGTAAACCTAAATAATGAATAATTTAGTAGTTTATTTAAACTGTAACGAAGGTTCATAAAAAATGTATCAACAAAAAAAAAATTAGAAGTGAGGAGTTTTTGGAGGTGAAATAATATCATTTGCTAAATCTGGAGTGATAGGATTAGTGTCATTCATTGAACCACCTCTAACTCGTTTATCTATTATATGAGAAGAATTAGACTTCTTCTTTTTTAAGAACTCTTTGAGTTTAGAGAGGTCTTCAGAAGGAAGACCAATCATTGCTAATTCTTCATCGTCCATACTAAATAAATCATCTTGACTAATATACCCGAAACAGATAAACACTTCGGCGTATTGTTCCAAACCAAGAGGGGCTAATAATTTTTTCATTACCTCAATAGGACTATCATTAAATTTGTTTGGTTTTAATTTCTCAAGTTCAGCTCCATTAAATAATAATGAAAATTCAGGGAATAGTTTTACAATAAAACTACTTAATGTTTCACTATACTCATTATAATATGATGATTCAATATCATCACTAGCTCCAGGAATACAAATAAAATCTTGTGCATTTTTAATAATAGACTGTAATTTTTTCATTCCACCAGCAAATCTATCTTGTTGTCCATAAATTGCAAAAACTGGTATTTTTACCATCTTAATCATTTTAGCATTTTCAAATATTCCTTTACCAAATGTAGATGGGTCCATCTTAGGACTTATCATTATTACTCCAGCTGCAATTGTTTCATTTTTCTTTGCTCTTTTTTTACTTGCCAACATTAAAGATACAGCTGCACCGACTCCTTTTCCACATAAAATTAATCTACTAGTTGGTTTATGTAAAATAGAAGTAATATATGAATACACATATTCTGCGTTTGTTGCTAATAATTCATCTGAATAAGGTTGGTCAAATAATCCATAACTTGGATATTCAAATGCTAAAATATTACAATGCATTGTCTCTGTTAATAATTCTAATGATGAAGTTATTAATCCTAAATCTTCTCCACAATCATGCATATACATAATTGTTACTGGTTCAATAGAAGTACTTGATTTCATTGAACATTTAAACCATAAAGCTGGAATATCTTTTTTAACATTTCCTGTTTTAATATAAATTAAATGAGGTAGTGCTTTAGTATAACTACAAGGTGGTTTTTGTGACATTGCTACATTAAAGGCTCTTCCAAATACTACATCTGAAATATGATGAACTCTCATTCTAGGTGAAGTTAATTGACTTGATGGAGATAACATTGTTGCACTTTTTTCTATTTGTTGTTTAGCTTCACGTAACATTGAATTAAACTTTTCAGGTAATTGAGTTGTTGAATATTCATTATGAAATTTTTTAATAACTTCTAATTGAATTGGAAAAATATCTACTTGTAAGGTATCACCATCACTAGCATACATTGAAATAGAATCATTCCAATTAGGAATAACACGAATACTTGGGATATGACAAAATATTCCTTCTTGTCTAAGTGGTGGTTGAATCTTTTCAAGAATAGAATTAAACTCAGAGTACAAAGAATAAATTCCTTGTGACTTACTATTTTCTGTTAAAGAATGGTAAGTATGTTCAATCACACAATATCCCATTTTTTTCTCTTTTTAGATTCTTCTTTTTTTTTTTTCTGTTATTTTGATTTTTCTTTTTGCTCATTAATTGTTCTTTTTTGCTTTTTATTTATATTTCTTTCTTTTCTAACTTTATAATAGTTATTTTTCATATTTTTACTTCTTATTCTTTTTAAAGATCTCTAAATACCTTTTAAAAAGTTAATAACGAAATAAGAAAAACAAAAATTATTTATAGAATTTCACGAAACAATAAAGAATTTTAAGAACTTCTGCCAAACTAAAAAATATTACAATTTTCTTTTTTATTTGAGACAATAATTTGTCTTTTTATTATTCTTCTAAAAATTAACCTTATCAGGATTGTTTTCTATAGTTTCGTCAGAGGTATAGTCATAATCACTCTCATAATCACAATGAAAAGAAAAATTTTCTTCTGTTGAAGTAGAATGATGAAATGTATTGATTGATTTAATTTTTGTAATTGTACAATCGTCGTCAATACCTTTTCTTTCTAATTGAGTACTATCACTAAAAAGTGTACCATTTGAGTTTTGTTTACTTTCAATATTATTATGATAGGTGTCATTAGTATTATCGTCGATATCGTCAACATCAATAACACTTGGATAACTATCAGCATCTATAACATCATTTGTTAACATTAAATCATTTTTATTTTCGTCTTTATAATTAACAACCCCATTAATAATTTCAACAAACTCAGCACTTGGAGGTGCTTTTTGAATAATTTCTTGAAGTCTAATATTTAATTCAATATCTTCCCAATAACAGACTTGCTTACAAAAGCAACAAATCCAAGGTTTATGTTGCCAGCTAGTAATTAAACTTATTGCATCCATATAGAAATTATGATTACAATGTTTTCCTTTTACTGGATTATTCATTCTACACTTAGAGAATGGACAATTCAACGAAATAACAACTCTGTTTTCTAATTCCATTTCACCATCATTAATAATATCATCTACAAGTTTATCAGTATAACGATGTTCTTTATTAATTTCATTAATTAGTCTATCTTTTATTTCAGATGGACTTTCTTGATTACAAGTAAAAATAACAATAATTTCATTTGATTTAATTTTATATCTTCCATTTTTAATTGGATAAGGAATAACTTTATATTTTGTTTTTTCATTATATTGTTCAAATAAATAATCAGTTTTATCTATTGTTACACACCCTGACACATCAATTCCAGAATTGTTAATTACTCTTATAAAAGCACTTTGACGTATATTAACTGTTTCAAAATTTTGTTTTGGCTGGATAATATAAAGTACTTTTGAGAGTGTATAATATGAAAGTAATGTTTCTTTAAATCTAACCGGTAATTGGTCAATTAAACTCATAATAATTGGATGATGTATTTCAGGTAATTTAGGTTTAATAGGGATTACTTGAATTGGTTTTGAAAGAGATATTTCTTGATTAGGAGGAAGGTCTACACCAAGCTCTAAAGAACTAGAAGACGCCGTCTTTTTTATAGGAATAAAAACCGTTAATGAAGAACGAGTTGAAGAAGTACGTTTTAAAGGAGTATTTGATGATTGATGAGTTATAGACTGAGGAGAATTTTCAGCTGGTACTTCTTTATTTAATTCATTACAGAGATATTTTCCAAAATCAATAAGAGAAATAAAATTTGAATAAGGCTGAAGATAATGAAACATAGGAATAGAAAATAAATATGATCTTAACGAAATAAGTTTACTAGTTTCTTTATTTAATATTTCTCCACTTTCTTGAAAAAGATATTCAAATGGATAATCCTCTTTTTTTAATTTAAGTATCTTGTATATTTCTGTTTCTTTATTTTGTTGTAACCATTCTAAGTACTTCATTGGTACAATGAAATTATTTTATTTTTTTTATTTAAAAATTTTTATTTCTTTTTTTTTTATTTTTGGCATTTTTCTTTTTTTTTTGAAGATTTTCAAAAAAATAATATCCTTTAATTTACATAAAAAAGTTGTAAATTAGTATTTTAGGGTATTTACTTTTCATTTAGAGTTATTTTCATCAATTTAAAAAAGAGAAAAATTGAGATGAAAAGTGAAAAACTAAGAATCGACTTATAAATAAAAGACATAATGGAGTTTGAGATTCCTCAAACAGAACATGAAAAAGAAAAGGGATACGGTGGGTTATTGGATTGTAGTACACCAAATGATTTTGAAAATGATTATAAACTATCGGATATAAAAAAAATCACATCATCAATAATTAAAGAAGCGTCATTGGACCCTCTTATTTTATATTCAGAACCAAAAAAATATGGGTATTTACATTTGGCAGCACAAAAAAAGGTATTATCAAATTCTATTTGTCAAATTGCAATTTCATTAGTTAAATATAATCTTGAGTCTTTAAATTCAGATCAATGTAAACAATACAGAAGTACTTTAAAAATGATCATTTATCTAGAAAGTCTTATTGATATTGACCAGCTTATTATTAAGAGTGTCATCGATGTTTTACAATTACCATTTGACAGTATTTTTACATCACCTGATACCTTCTTTTTAGATACTATTAGACAAATTGCAACAAAAGGAATAAAAACAATTGATAGTGAATTTTTAAATAAAATCTTTATTCAATTAACAAATCTTAATCATATAGAAGGTATTGTTACCGGACTTATTCAATTATTAAGTGAAGACAATGACATTGTTAAAATTGCTAACTCTATTCTTCGTAACAATAGCCCAGTATTACAAAAATTTCTCAGACAATTACTTTCTATTGATACTATAAACCCAAAATTACTAAAAAGTATTTCTATCTTATTTCCTTTATTACCTGAGTTAGTTCCTGAAAGTAAACTAAAATTACCAAGTATTCTTCATTGTTTATTAGAACAACAAGAACACATACTTCGTAATGCTGTGATAGAGTGTTATGCCAATATTCTTCTTGATACCCCAAATGATCAGTTATATGATTGTCTTACTGAAAGATTTCATGACGTCAATTCATTTGTAAGAGTTAAAGTATTACAAATGTGGCAAATGCTTGTTGAACATAGATGTATCCCATTAGAACGATTTAATAAATTAACTTCTAGTGCTGTTGAACGTTTAAATGACAAATCAACACCAGTAAGAAAAAATGCAATTTCATTATTACAAGCGATGTTAGTATTTAATCCTTATTCAGTTATATTAAGAAGAGATCTTTTTGAATCGAAGTTACAAGAAACTGCTGAAATGTTAAAAGAAAATGTAAAAGAAGAAAACAAAGATGATAGTGAAGAAGAACAAGAATTTACTGTTCCAGTTAATAAAATTTTAGAAATATTTGAAGGAACTGGATTTCAACATGTTGCTGATACTGAATTACTTGAAGCTAAAAAACAAGAGGTTTTAAAAAATTTTATTGAGTGGTTAAAAAATTCAATTGAATTTATTAGTGTATTTGAAGAAGCTGTTGATTCTGTTGAAAGAATACTAGAATCAACGTCAGTACTAGACCTTAAAGAAGCAATTAAATTCTTCGGAAGTATTTGTCAATACAAAATACCTAAAGGAGCAAGGGCATTAAAGAAAACATTAGAACTATTATTTTCTAAAGAAGTTGATGTTCAAAACGTCATTGTTGAAGCAGTTTCTAAAGCTTTATGTGAAGAGTCTCCACAAAATACTGTAAATAACCTATTAATTATGACGAATGGATCAAATATTGGAGAAGAATTATGTATTAAGAAATTAGTTGAATTGCTTATTCAAAAAAAAGTTATTGGGCCAACCGAAATTGATTATTTATGGGCATACATGGCTGGCAAATTACCAACTGGAGGAGATATGGAAGCGCTTACTGCATTGACATTGTTATCTTTTGTTGGTGCTGCAAAACCATCGTTAATATTAAATAAAATATCATTACTAAATTCAATTTGCTTCAAAAAAGGACAACTTCCTACATTTATATATAGAGGGTGTCAAGTTTTATATCACTTATATGAAGAAAAGAATGCGTTAGAAAAGATTAGTATAAATGATCCAACTATAATTCAAATAATTGGTTGTCTTGATGAAACAATAGGACCAAACACATGGATTGCTTTAAATCAATTAGTTCTTGACCTTGTTTATAAAGCAGTTGATAATCCAAATGAAGTAGGGAAAGAAATTATTTTAAGAAGGGTTGCTGAAGTTGAGAAAAGTCCTAAAGTGTCAAACATTAGTAAATTATTGTCTGCTGTTGGAGGAGTAGCAAGAAAACAAGGAGAAATATATGAAAAAATGAAAGAAGGTGTTGTAGATGAGATTGAGAAGAAAAAAGGAAAGAAAGGAAAACGGATTAGTATTGCATGTGAAAATAAGATTCATGAAGTTGTCGGTGAGGTATTAGAAGATGGGTTATTAGGAGAATTTGTACCAATTATAAATGACTATTGTAAAGACATTATTGAAGGAAAATATAACGAAGATAATTTTCTAACATTCCGAGTTGTTGTGATTAATTCTTTGTGTTCTTTTATGATGGTTAATCAACGTTATTGTGAAGAACACCTTCAAGAATTATTTACTATATTAGAAAATACACAAGATGAATGTGTTAGGAGTAATATTGTTTATTATGTTGGAGACTTTGCATGTAGATATCCAAATTTATTAGAAGGATGGATTAAATATCTTTATGGACGTTTAAAAGACCCAAGTGCATTAGTTAGGAGAAGTGCAGTTATTGTATTAAGTGAATTAATATTTCATGATATTATTAAAGTAAAAGGATCAATATATTTGATGGGGCTTGCACTTGTTGATGATGAAGAAAGAGTTAGAGATTTAGCACATACATTTTTCCAAGAATATTCATCAAAAACAAATGCTATTTATAGTGTTCTTCCCGATCTTATTTCATCACTTGGAAATGAAGATATTACTAGAGAACATTTTAGATATATTATTAAATATATATTTTCATTTATTTCAAAAGATAAACAACATGAACAATTAATGAATAAATTATGTTCGAGATTTACTATGAATGAACAAACACCAAAACAATGGGAGTATACTGCTTATTGTTTATCTCTCTTATCATATAATGAAAAAACATTAAAGAAATTAATGAGCTCTGTAAAAATTTTTGGAAATAAATTACATATCACAGAAGTTAAAGAGGCTTTCATTTCTTTATGTCAACGACTAAGGAAGTTTGCTAAACCAGAAATGAAAGTGTTAATTGAAGAGTTTGAAAAAATAATCATCAAAGAAGGAGGTGAGGATGAAATTAATGAAGAAGAAGAAAAAAATAATAATCAAGAAATGTCAGAAGAACAAAATTATGATGAATGATAAAAACTATTTTTTATTTTTCTTCTTTTTAATTTGAAATATAAGAATTATTGAGTTATTTAAAAGAAAACTTAGAATTTAAGTAAATTAAGATGAAGGCTAATGAACTTATTCAAAGAATTACTACAATAGAAAATAAAGATAAAGCAAAAGTATTGCAAAGGTTTTTCAAAACTGGAAAAGGTGAATATGGTGAAGGAGATCTTTTTCTAGGAGTTCCATTACCATCAATAAGAAAAGAAACAAAAGTATTTTTAAATACTTATATTCAACGAAAAAAATTTATTGAAGGAAAGACAATAAATGAAGTATTAAATGAAGTAAAAGATTTATTAAATAATAAGTATCATGAAATTCGAGTAGCGGGATGTATTATTCTTGTTGAATTATATCCAGTTGATGAAGAAATAATTTATAAGTTTTATCTTACTCAAACTGAACATTTAAATAATTGGGATTTAGTTGATATAACATGTTATAAAATTCTTGGGAAATACTTGTTAAAAAAAGAAAAGGATATTCTTTATATATTAGCTCAAAGTAAATCATTATGGGAAAGAAGAATTGCAATGGTCACAACAATGACATTCATTAAAAATGGACAATTTGAAGATTCATTAAAAATTTGTGACATTCTTAAATCAGACCCTCATGACTTAATACATAAAGCATGTGGATGGATGTTAAAAGAAATAGGAAAGAAAAATAAAAAGAAACTAATAACTTACCTTAATGAAAATGTAACAACGTTACATCCAGTAACACGAAACTATGCATGTGAACATTTGTCTAATGAATTAAAACAAAAATATAAAGAACTTGCTAAACAAAAGTAACTAAATTATTTTTTCTTCTTATCCTTTGTGGTTTTATTCCAAATGAAAACGAGTTAAATCAACACAATGACAAAAAATTACAAGTCCTAATAGTAAAATAGTAAAGAATGCTGTACTAATGCAAACAACAAATATTCCAATCCATCCAGAAACACCCCATTCATCATCATCACTTCCACCTTTTAAAGTTTCAGCAACAACACACATAATTTGACAAATAATAAACAAAATTGTCAAAAGTTTTATTTCCATGTTAATTGGAATTGAAATTATTAGTTTGAAAGAAGTAAAATTCTTTGATTATTACTAATAGTAAATTTGTTATTTTTTTTACTAATCACAACCAAAAGTCTTGAAGTAAAAAAAAATGAACAATTCCAATTTAATCGGTTTGCTTTACATGGAAAAGAGAAGAACAATTGAATGTTTTTCCTGTTAGATCAGATTGGACTTGTTTTATTAGAACAAACTTTTGTTTATCTGATAAAATCTCTTTCTTTTCCATTTTTAAAGTAGATTCTTGTAACTTACGATACTTTAATTTAGAGATAGACATAATACCAAAGTTAGTTTGTGTTGCAATAAAAGATAAGAGATCAGAACACTCTAATAAATCAGCTTCTGAGATAACAACAATATATTCATAATTTTCATCCATAATAAATTCTTTTAACTGTTCAGAAAATAACCTTTGTGGATAAATATCAATTGTTTTAAAGATACTAGGATATGTATTAGAGAATGTTTTCATTGCTGAGTTAGCAAAGAACCCTGATGCAATTGTTTGAGTTGATCTATTTGGTATACCATCTGTATAACATAACGCAAGATTAGACTCTTTAATTAACTCTTGTTTTCTTGCTTCATCTAAAGCTATATTATCACTACATTTGAAGAATAAGAATAGTGGTGGTGCTTCAGAACTTATTTTTGATGAATTAATCCTTTCAACCCCCGAAAAAGAGAAATACCTTACACAATTTTTGAATGGTTCTAATAATTCCCATGGAATAATATTTAATGTTGGACTAACAATTAATTTATTTGCTCGACGTTCTTTAAAGAGGTCTAAAGAATTAAATATTTCTTCCATTTTATCTTTAACTTGTGAAATAGAGTCACATGGTTGAGGACGAGTTCTATCAATGTTATAAGCAAAGTAATTCATTAAAAATCCATCCATTGTAATTGTTTGTCGTTTAACAATATTTTGTAAATTAACAATTGCAGGTCGTTTTATTAAAAATAATGTAAATGGTTTTTGTGGGTATTCTTTTAAATGTCCATTAAACTGAGTTTCTTTTAATTGATTTGGATTAAGTAATGATAATATAGTAGACTCTTCATTAAGCATTTCTGTTGGTTTGTTAGTTCTAGAGAGACACAAAGCATTTATAAAATTGAATCCTTTCTTTTGCTTCATCATTCGAATAATTTCTTTGTTAAATTCTTTTTCACATCCAACCATCTTACATTTTCCTTTACTAATTTTTAGACTACCAAATGTAGATTTTTTGATTTTTGATTCATTTTCCATATCATGTGATAATGCAAGTAATAACTGTGAAATAGTTATTGTTGGTGAAACAATATAATATATTGACCCTTTTTTAATTGTAATTTTCATTGCAATCATTGTAACAGTTGTTTGTATTGGAGATAATACACCAAATTGACATACACATGTTTCTCCAGAACTATGATAAAAAATGATTGATCCACAAAGTTGTAATATTAAAAATACATGTTCAGATTTAAATTGAGCAGTTGAAGCAGCAATCGTTTGAGTTGTAGTAGTGGTTTGTTGTCTGAAAATAGGGAGTATTTCAAATGAAGGTTCTGGTTGTCTAACAGTTCCTAATTGAGGAATAACAAATGAATAAATAAAATGACTTTCTTTAACCATTTCTAATATATTTTTAATTAATTCTTTATTAGAATCAATTAAACCATTTTTAGTTATTCTTGAATTTGAATATCGTTCTACATTATATTTAATTGCTACTATTTTAGAATAAAGTAATTGTGAATATAAAGAAAGTGCATGAGTTGCATATGCTTCATACATAGCTAATGTTGGATTAATTCTATTACACATTTTAATTAATAACACTCTTAATAAATCTGTTTCATCAATACAATCTAATTGAAGTTTTTTATTAACTGTATCACAAAATGATCGTGTTTGATTTAAATTCTCCCAGAAATCAATAAATTCATTATTTCTTCTTCTAATTCTTAGTGTTGCATATTGAAGCATTAAATAAGTATCTATTATAACAAAATTAGCATTAATAGTATTTTTTCCAAATAAAATCATTAATCGTACAACTCTTCCTAAAATTTCGTACATAGTAAATACATAATGAGCAGGTATATTCGGTCCAATATCTCTTGGACCATCAAAAAACATTGTGTATAATGTTTGGACAGCTAGTTGAAGATGTGAATATGATTCTTGTCTTTTATCTCTTAGAAATTGTATTTCTGCCATAGTAACATATGCAGGGATAATATGCCATATATCAAACATTTGTGAATAAGTTTTTAATGCTTCATATGCATATTTTCTCGCACCTTCAGCATCAATAATAAAGTCTTTTGGGGAAACACTTGTTTTAATTTTTACAACACTCCATTTCTTTAAGAATGAACTACCTTCAAAATATGTTAAATTAAGTGTTGAAGCAAAACAATATCCAGCAGAATCATTAGGTGTACGTAATAAAAATTGTGTTTTTGTTGATGCAATAACTAATTGCGTTTTGGCTAATCGCCCATCATCAGCCAATAATGTATAAATATCATATGATTTCTGAAATGATAATAATGCTTCTTGAACAACTTCCCAATCTCCATTGAATAAGGTTGGCTCGATTACTTTAATTGGTACTTTTTCTCCATTTTCATCTGAGAGGAATGAAGTTAAAAATTTGTTTATTCCATCGTCATCTCTAAGATATGATGGATATGTTTGAACAGGATTAGACAATATCTTTCTTAAAACGTTTCCTCTTTTAAAGAATAATGAACCTAGTAATCTATAATCTGTATTATCGCATAGAGTTAATGAAAAATCTATCATTGACATAGCTCTATGATATTGCTCTGCATTAACATAACACATTGCTATAATTGAAAACACATTAACAGCAACTTCTGTTCTCTGTTTTTTATTGATTAATTCAAACTCAAACAAATGAACATCTTCTAAAGTTTTTAAACAATCATCACACCACCCTCGTTTAGCATACATTTTTGCAAGAATTACTTTTAATTCTACTTCTTTTGACCTTGGAATATTAAGTTTATTAAAGAAATTGATTGTTGTTTGAACTCTTTTGTCATCTCCAACATGAAGAAATATTTCTGCCAATCTTTGCATATTTTGATGATAAATTGGTAATGATTTAATATTTGTTGTTTCTAAATGTTTTTGAGAAACAAATCTAAGAGCAAGTAACTGAAAAGCACTATCATATAAACCAATTGAAATATAAATTTCTGCTAATACTCCAACAATATAAAGAAATTCATTATATTTTTCTTCTTTATAATAAATTTCAATTAACCATTTATACATATTAATGGCTTTAGTTTCTTCTCCAATATGTGTAGCAATATCTGCAATTATTTTGACTGTCATTTGAATGTCGATATAAAGAACATATGGTGCAACAAAGAATACTGTATCTATTAATGATTTACAATATTCAGTTTTATGATTTAATGTAGAAACCTGTAATAATTTAATACATACCTTAATTCCTAAAGGAGTTAAGAATAATGAAATATACCATAATTGTCTTAATATATAAAAGGAATCAAATAATAATGATTCTGATGTTTTAGAATCTTCAAAAAAGTTAAAAATAATTCCAAGTACTAACGCTACTCTTGCTTTAAAGAAGTTTATTTCCATTTTTTTATAATACTCAACTAAACGACTTTTTTGTTCATTAAGAAATTTTTTATCTACATCCAGAAGTTGATCATCAACAGTAATTTTTGTATATGTTACTGAAGAATATCCTAATTCAATCAAAATTGCTTCACACAATATCCATGAATTATAAATAATTGTTAATTCATCATCATTTTTCTCTTTTAAATTATCTAATTCACTATCAATTTGTTCAAAATATTCATCATCTCTCCAATTCCCAACTACTCCTTTATTCATTCTTATATGAAATTGATATCCTTTTCTTATTATTTCTAGTAACTGAAATCCACAACCAGTAAAAAATTTATTTCCAATCTCTTTTAAATATTCATCTCCAAATGAATAACATACACAAATAATTTGTAGCATTTCGATAATATTGATACTTTTTAAATCGTATTGTCTTAATAATTCACTTCTAACAAATCCTATTGCCATATTGTTAAATTGTCCAACTTTCTTTTTTAATGAATAACTACTCGATTTAAATGCAATATTAACTAATGTTTTTATATCTTTTTTCTTTTGTAATATTTCAATTAAATTATCACTTAATTTTTCATCAACAGGAAGATCTATAATATTCCATAATGTATTTTCTTTAATTTCTTTAGTTGTTTCTTCAATGTATTGTTGTAGTTGAGGTGCTTGAAATTTAGTTGTTAATCTCTCATCATAAAATTTCATTGGAAGGCCATAACCTACTGTTTGTACACTTTGATTGTTAATAATTTCAAGTAATCTACAATTCTCTGGTGGATTCTCTTCCATAATTTCTTCTTGAAATGAATCAAATACACTTAATGTAGGAACATTCGTTTGTGGTGTAATACCAAATTCTGCATCCCAATCTTCTTCTTCTTCAATCACTTGTTCTTCTTTGCTATTCTTCTTTTCTTTTTCTTTCTCATGTTTATTATGAAGTTCAATATACTTATTCATAAATTCAGTTGTTTTTATTGAACCAAACATTAAAGATATTTTCTGAACTTTAGTGAAAAGAATATCAGTGATCCCTTCACAGGTACATTCAAAATACTCTAATTCATATGATAATATTGCTGATAATTCTCCAATAATCTTCCAAGGATAAATATATTGTGGTGGTTTAGTAAATGGATGTAATGGATATAAATAACATGACAACGCTTCTATTAATCGATTTACTTTTGGGGTAAATGAATCATCATCTTTATTTAATTCATAAACATCACAATTTAATCTAGCTGATAACCTTGAAAAACATGCATCATTAGGTGGATCTAATATTGTCGAATACATAGTATAAGCTAATTCTAACATTTGATTACATTTACTTTTATCTCCAACCTTTTTATAAATTATATAAGCTTGATAAAATACTCGTAATTTAAAAAGATCACTTACAGGTAATGTAGGTTTTAAACATTCATTAATTAGAGGTAAATATAACTTTTCCGCATTTATATAATCATGTTTCATTCCATATTCATTTGCTTTTTCCCATCGTTTTACTATTTCTTTAACAATAGGATTATCAATATTTTCTATACAAAGATCAGTATATCCATCAAACTCTTCTTCTTTATAAAAACTGAGTGTAACTTCAGGAAAATGATCAACAAGATCTTTAACTTGTTTTAAAAATGGAAGTTTCATCATAATCAGAGTTGTATTAGGAATTGAAATACTTTGAAATGATTCATTTTCACCTAACGAAAAATCATCATCCCAAACTTCGTCAGTTGTTACACTTATTTTTTTTACTTCTATTGGTTTTTTTTCATCTATTGGTATTTCACCAAAATTATCTCCCCACTCATCTTTATTATTTCCATCTAATTCATCAGCAAAATCATTATCCCAATTTTCAGGTGTATCTGATTTTTTTATTAATGGTTTTTCACTTGTTGATCTTTTCTTTCGGGGTGTTATTTTTTTTTCTTTTTTATCGTTTATAAAAATATCATCCCAATTATCTTCTCCAACTAATGCAGATGGTTTTTTTTCATTAATCTTTTTTCGTGGTGAAACAATTATATCAAAACCTTCATTACAACTATCTTCTTTATCTTTTCCTTTTGTTTTTAATGTTGGTATTTTTATTTTTTTCCCATCTTTCTTCTCTTTATCTATTAATATTGACCTTCTTTTTCCATTTAATTTCTTTCTTGAAGACTTCTTTTCTTCTTTTGCTAATTCTTGTAACCCATAAAACCCTTCATCTGAATTCTCATTCTTTGCATTTCCAAAATCATCATCCCAATTTTCATTGTTCCCTACCTTAGAATATTCGTTTGTCTTTTTTTGAAGAAAATTATTTAATGGTTTTACACTGATCTTCGTTTTGCTTTCACCTTCTTCAGGAATAACAAAATCATCTCCCCAATCGTCATTATCTTTCGTTTGTATAGTTTTGATTTCAAAATTTTTCGTTGTATTTGTTGTTGTTTCCTTTTGTATTGACGTAATCATCTTTTCTCCTGTTTTTATTTCTCCAAAATCATCATCCCAACATTCTCCATTTGTGTTGTCACTACTTCGTATTTTCATTTCATTGACTTTGTCATTTATTTCGAAGTCATCATCCCAATTTTCCTCGTCTAACTTATCAAAAGTTTGATTGGAGTGCGACATCTCCTTTTTATCTTTTCTTGTTTTTTCTCTAAAAATATTTTTTTATTTTTATTTTTTATTTAAACAAAAAAAAAACACAAAAAATTTAATTAAAATTGTTATTAAAAATTCTTTCTTTTAAATTCATTCTTGGGTATTTGAGACTTATGTTTCGAAAGAAAATGTTGTAAATTAAAGAAAAAAAACGAAAACTCAATTTTATTATTATTTGATAGCACTAAAATGGAAGGGAAGAAGAAATTTTTCAGAAAACCATTAACAAGTGCTCAAATTAATGTATTAAAAAAACAAGAAGAACCTGCTTGTGATTTAGTATTGGAGATTATGAGTAAAACAGAGTTTGGGTGTCATCAAAGAAAATTACCAAAAGAAATAGTTAAAGCAATGGAAGGAATGAGAGGGTTTCATAAAGATAATGGATTTTTTTTACCACTAAGACACTATCATGACATTGTATCACAACTTAAAAATATGGGATTTTCTATGAAAGAGATTCCTAATGAAGTGTTACAATATTTTCAAGATGTGATTGAAGGAATAGATACATCATCAAAAGAAGTAGTAGACATGTCTCAAATTGGTGAACAACTTTTATTTAAATTAAAGCCTTTTCAAATTCAAGGTGTTGAGTTTGGTATTCAACATAATGGAAGATGTCTTATTGCTGATGAAATGGGATTAGGCAAAACGTTACAAGCTATTTCAATAGCTCAGTACTATAAAACAGATTGGCCATTATTGGTTATTTGTCCATCTTCACTAAGAGCTAATTGGAAAAATGAGATTATAACTAATTGCAAGTGTTATGATGATGTTGTTGTAATGTTTAGTTCAAAAGATCTTAATAAACCATGGGGAAGAGTAACAATTGTTTCATATGAAATAGCAGCAAAACATGCACAAGAAATACTTGATAAACAATTTAAAATTGTCATTGCAGATGAGTGTCATTATTTAAAAAATTCTCAATCAAAAAGGTGTCGTGAATTATTACCAGTATTAATCAACGCTGAACATACTATTTTATTAAGTGGAACTGCATTACTTTCAAGACCAAGTGAATTATATCCTCAAATGCAAGCTCTTAGGTTTCCAATATTTCCTTCTTTTCATAAATTTGGAGTTAGGTATTGTAATGCAAAAGTTACACAATTTGGTTGGGATTATACTGGTAATTCACATCTTCCCGAACTTCATATCTTATTATCTAAATTTGTAATGATTAGAAGATTAAAAGAAGAAGTACTTTCTGAGTTACCTGATAAAGAAAGAATGGAAGTAGTAATAGACATTCCACAAGAAGATGTTATTAAAATGAAAGATTTAAGATTGGCAGCTGAGCTCCAAAAAAAAAAGTTAGGTGATAAAGTTGAAAAGTTTACAAAACAAATTCAATTCGTAGAGTTATATAATATGACTTGTACTGCTAAACTTAAAGGGGTATGTTCATTTCTTGATAAAATGATTATAGAAGGGAAAAAATTATTAGTTTTTGGTCATCACCAAGAAATGCTTGATGGAATAGAGAATTATATTAAAGAAAGTAATATTGAGTATATAAGAATTGATGGATCAACAAATGCTTCTTTAAGAGCAAAATATGTAGACCGGTTTCAAAAAGAGAAAAGAATTAGAATTGCTATTCTTAGTGTTACTGCTGCAGGAACAGGAATCACTCTTCATAGTGCAGATACTGTTGTTTTTGCTGAATTATATTGGACACCAGGAGTACTGAGACAAGCAGAAGATAGAGTTCATAGAATTGGGCAAAAGAATGATGTTAGAATCTTTTACTTAATTGGAAAACAAACGGTTGATGATCTTATTTGGCCTTTACTTGAAAAGAAGTTGAAAATTTCAGGAGAAACTCTTGATGGGAAAGAAGTTGGGCATGACACAAAAAAAGTTACAGTAAGTGTAGAAATAGAAAAAGAAGATAATAGTGATAGTATTGGAAGTAAAAATACACCAATAACTATTGATTGCGATGATGATATTTTTATTGAAGATGATGAATTACAAACAGCTAAGCCTATTGACTACGATAACAGTAGTGAATTATTGGATGATGTTTTATTTGAAGAAAAACCAAGAAGAAAAACAAAAACAATTATCACAGAAGTTAATAATGAACAAAAAAAGAAATCATTTACTAAACGAATTAGTCAAGAAAGTGATATTTCTATCACTGGAATTAAAGAAGGAAACAACTATGGATTTCCATGTTTGATTGGTGCAAAAAAGTTAAAAGAAGATAATGGAAAACCAATTGCATTAATGAAACCTGAGCCTATGGGAAAAAGAAATAAAACAATTAATGACTTCTTCAAAGTAACAAAACCAATTCCAAAAGGTTTATTGACATTTGCTAATGAAGTTGATCATAGAAAAAAGAAAAAAATAGATGAAGAAAATAGTATATTAGATGATATCCCATCTTCAGTATTTACCAGCTGTACTGAAGTAAATGAAAAATCCCAAGAAAAAGAAGAGATACAAAATATAATAGACGATATATCCCAAGTAAATGTAAAAAGAATACCTTCATCTGTTAACTTCTTTTCCTTTAATTCTACTTGTAAAAATGAAAATAGAAAAGATATTTTAATGGAAGAGGCAGAGAAAACTATTCAAAAAAATGAAGAAGAAATAAAAAAGATAGAAGTCATAGAAATTGAAGATGATAAAAAACCAAACCAAACACAAAAACTAATTGAGACATATAAATTAAATGAAACAGTTAAACAACCAATAAATACTAAGAAAAAAGGAATTGTAATTAAATTAACTAAACATCAAAAAGATGTATTTGATACAAAAATGGGAGGTTCTAATACAAAAAACAAAGAAAGAAAAAGAAGTTTGTCTCCATCTCAAAGTTCAATAACTTCATTCTTCAAAACAAATGATGATATAAAGAAAAAAGAAAGTAAACCAGAAAAAATACCTCCACTACTAACAACAACAAAGAAAAAGAGTGACCCAACAGAAGATGATTTTGAACTCGAACCAAATGAATTTGAAAAAAGTATGATTGGATTAGGAAGTACAACTGGTAAAATGAAATATCATGCATTATTACCTAATAAATAATATAAAATATTTGTACTTATTTCTATTGTTCAATCTCTTTATGTAATTCTTTTAATGAAAAAAAGAAGAAAAATAAATCAAAAAAAAAACAGTCGAATTCAAAAAGATTATTGTTAGTGGTAATCTATATTACTTATTTTGTTTCATTTGGTGTTGATTCAGCTGTTTTGATTTGATTTTTACGTGCATCCTTTGCTGCTAATTTTTCTTCTTGTTTCTTTTTAAGTGCATTTTCATATTTGTGAATCAACTCTTCTTTAAATGGATAGAGATGAGGAATTCCTGGTTCTTTCTTTAATTTCTTTCGTGCTTCAGGAAACTTTTTTGCTAACTTTCTCATCTTTTGGTTGTGTCTTCCAATTTTCTTCTCAATTGAGTGTTTCTTACTTAGTGTTTGTCGTTTATTTCTGGGTTTTGATCTTGGCATCCTTTTTATGTCTCTAAGTTCTTTTCTGTTTATTTTAGGGTTTTTCTTTTTAGATTTTATTAGAATAAGTTTTCCTAAAATATTTAATGAAAAATTTTTCAAATTAAATAGATTTTTTATTTTTTTCCTTGTTTTCTCATTCCCCTTTCATTTCATCAGTATTTCATAAAAAAATCTTCAATAAAATACACTTAGTTCCGAATTCAATCAGCTGACTTTAACATGGGTTACATTTTATTTGTTCTTCCTTCTTATTCAATACAAATGCACAGAATAAACTGGTTTTTCTTTATTTTACAATTTTTAAGTTTCAGTTTTACGTATTGATTCATTGTTGTATATTTATGATTTTTAAACTCTAATGTAAATTATATAAATCAGCATAAAATAATTCTTCAACTGTTAAACAGAGTTATATTAATTTATATTCATTAAGTCAAAAATCACACAACCCCATTTCTTCTCTTGTTTTTGTTCGTATGACTCTTTAGAGTTGTGTTTTATAAATACGTTCTATATTTATATTTCTAAATGTGTTCTTCCATTTAGCTCTTCTTTTTAATTGAACCAGTTTAACAAAGGACTTCTTCGTTTTTCTTGTTCAACGAAGAAAAACTTTTATTTATATTTTTGAATAAAACGTTAATTATCAATAGTAACTGAAAGATATTTACTACAGTTTAAATAAAAGTTCATTTAAAATAGATTTTCATATTGATTTTTATAGGTTATGATATTCTGACAACTAATTCAACTGTTTATAGTATCTTAATTTATTTATTTTTATTCTTTAACATAATTTTTAAATTCTTCTTTATTAAAAAACCTTTTTTGAGTATTGTGGGCATCGAATAATAATCTAACAATAATTGAAATAGACTCTTCTTTAAAAATCTCTCATCAGTTCTTATTTTTACGCTTTGGTTTATAACATGATGACTTAGGTTTTTTACATACTTTAAATCAATTGTGTGTGTTGTGTCTTGTTCTAATTCTCCACTACTCTTGTTATTAATTTATTATTGATCCATTTTTTGTTATTAAGAAATTTATGTTGATGGTCAAAATCCTTATACAAGTCATTTCTTAAAAAATAAAATATCTATAAATAAATAAGATGACGTGGTAGAAAAAGATAATCACGAATTTCCGATTGTAATACATAACATTTTATGAAGTTTTTATTCACCAAAAGACCATTCTGATATTAAAGTCAAAGAGATATTTTCAGTTTAGTTAAATAATTTCTAGAAGTCATTAAACTTTTTAGTGTGATGATGATGTGAATTTCTCAGAGTATTTGTGGTATTGACTAGATACCTTTTTGAGATAGTATGACAGAAAGATGTAAGGTTCAAATTCAAGAATGTTGAAAGAATTAATTGGTTGATAGATTATAGATGGTATTAAATAAGTATTTAACTAATGAAGTTCAAAGAAAGGAATGAGATGAAATAAGTAATGAGACATTTCATCAGAAAGTATTTCATGGAAAAGAGTTTTCAAATAGTTAGAAGAAAATAAATAAGTAAGAAAGAACAAGATTTGTAAAGAAGAAATGGGGAGATTACTTTAAATGTTTCAAGGAAGAAATAGAAGTGAAGAAATGAGAGAGATAGAATGATAAGAGTGGTAGAAAAAAAGAAGAAGAAGTTGAGAAAGTCGTTTAGAAAGACAAGAAACAGTCTTCAAGAATAAAGAAATAAAAGAAATAAAGAAGAAAAAAATGATAAAAGAAAAAAAATAGAAACTTAAAAAGGAAAAAGAATGAAGAGTGAGAAGAGATTACAAGAAAGATATCAAGAAAGAGAAGGACTAAAATGGCACGAGAACATTTATGAACAACTTGAATATGAGAAAGAGATAATTGAAAAAATAAAAAGAGGAGAAATTAAGAGAGAAGAAGAAGAAATAGAAAGTCAAGTAAGAGAAGAAGAAGAAACACAAATTAAAGTGAGAGAAGAAGAAGAAGGGAAAATTAAGATAAAAGTCATTCGACCCAATCAATATAAAAAAGTTAAAATAGGAATTTATGTTAATGGAGAAGAAGAAATATTTGATAAAAAATATGAATGGGAGATGAAAGAAGGAATTGAAAAGATTGAAGTTGAAAAACCAATGGTTGAAGGTATTTTTGATATTAGAGTGATGTATGAGAAAAAGAAATTAACAGAAGAAAAGAAATATATTTTTAAAGAAGCAAAAGGACAAGATTTTATTCATATTGAAAAAGTTAAATATAAAGAAAATAATAAAGAAATAGAAGGAGTTAAAATTAAAATAGAAGAAGATAAATCAGAAGAAGGAGATTTTGTATGTATTTATTTAGCAAGTAATATTAAAAATGAAAATTATATTCGGAAAAAATATCTTGAAAATAATACATTAATGTTTTTTATTCCTTTAATAAATAAAGGAATTTATTTTTTAAAATACTTTAGAAAACCAGTTCGTGAACCAACACAATTTTCTCCATTTATTCATATTCAACGTTTTGAATTTTAATTGATATTTTTCATTATTATTATTTCATTTTTATATAATTCTATTTCTTTATATAATCATTATTTTATTATCTTCTTTTCATTCTATTGTTTTTTATTATTTAATTTCATTAAATTTTAATAATTCAAATAAACAATGAATTGAACTTAATATTAATTACAAAGAAATTATGTAATCTTGTGAAGAATGTTAAATATATTAAACACAAAAAAGATAACAAAAATATCATAAATAACAGTGAAATCTTATTAGTCTATAAACCAACAGATTTAACATACAATTGTATAAAATCATGAAAGAGTAATAAAAGAATGATGATAAAAGGAATAAAAAATAAAAAGAATGAAATGAATCAAAAATATAATAATATAATAAATGATATATAACAATGATGTAAAATAAAATAATCAAAATAATAAAGAAATAAAAAGAAGTAAAATGAACAAAAGAATAATGAATATCAATAAATGATATAATAAATGATAATAAAAATATAATATAATAAATGATAATAAAGATAAAAATGAATAAAGAGATAGAAATAATAATTATAAGAAATAAAGAATAGAAAATACTAACAAAACAATAAAAGAAGAATGAATAACAGAGAAAGAATTGAATATATTTAAAATATAGAAACAATAAATAAATAAAATAAAATCAATGAAAGAAGAAAGAATAAATGATATATATCTGTATAAAATATAGAATAAGAATTAAAATAACAAAATAAATATTTTAATAAATCATCATCATATTCATTTTAAATCAAAATTAAATAATAAAATAAATAAAATAAGAAAAGATTAATTACATATAAATAAAATAAGTACATAAAATAATATGTAAAATATTAACATTTTTATTCATTTATTTTATTATCTTTTAACATACTAATTATCTAAATGTTTTATAATAATTTTTAATTTAACAATAAAATAAAACATAATATTCAGATAATAAATACAATAAATGAATAAATATTGAATGAATAAAATAAGATTTAAAGAATATATTTTAATAAATATTATAAATTAAAATATAAAAATTAAAAATATAAAATGAAGAATAATATTTTTATTAAACAAAAAAGAACATCAAATAAATAAAAATAATATAATTAATAATATAATAATGATAAATTTTAAATGATAATATTTGATTCTTTTCAATTAAATATTATATAAGTCATAAATCAAATTAATAAATGATTATAATATCAATAAATAATCTTATAATAATTTAATATCATTAATAATTCTCTTATTCATAATTATTTCATAATTATTCATTTATGATAATAACATTATAAATATTAATCATTTTCTTAATATAATTCATTTGTATTTTTTATATTAATTTCTTTATAAAATGAAAATAAACATATCATATTATTCAATTTTTTATTCAATTAATGAAGAATTAGTATTTCTAATATTGATTAATAATTTTAAATAAAAAAGTATAAATGAATATTTAATACTAAACATACTTTTAAATTAAATTTATATTTAATATAATAATAATAATAAGAAAATATAATATAATAATAAAAAGAAGAAATGTATAAAGAATGATTAAATTATATGTTTAATAATATAATATAATCTAAATAAATATAAATATAAATTTAATTTAGTTCATTATATCAGATTTAAACAGAATATAACATAATAAATATTATAAGTGAAATATAACAAAGTATCTAAAATAAAATTAAAGAATAATAACAAACAACAAAACATTGTATTTAAATGATTAGAATAATGAAATATTTAATAATATTCAAATTAAATAATAAATAATTTAATAGAAATAAAATCAAATTATAAATATAATTGAATGAAATAAGAACAGAAATAAATAACAATATTAAAACAAAAGAAATAATTCATAATATGATTATTTCATTATCATTATTCATCAAATATAAAACATTAAATCAATAAATTAAAATCATTTTAAATAAAATAAAGAAACAAATTAATAACTTTAACAAATTGATAGTTTTTTCAATAATCTAAAAGAATAATACATAAATAATTTCATTAGAAAAACAAATTAATTTTATCTAAAACAGAACCAAACAAATAATAATATATACGAAGTATTTAATTATATAATTAATGAAATATAAATTAAAATGAATCATTTTTATTTAAACAATAAATATTAATAAAATGAAATGATTCACATATTATTTAATATCAAATTATTATAAATAATTATTAACATTAATATTAAATTATAATATAATGACATTAAAATAATTTACTATAACTCATCATTATTAAACATATTTTAACATTAATCATATCTAAACAGATTATAAAAAAACAATAAAATATAAGAAACAATTAAATATTTAACTCTTTCTTTTTATAAAAATATATTTTAATAACTCCTAAAAAAACATAAAAAAAGTGAAAAGACTGAATCATTTTCAATTATGTCTGCTTTTAATCTTCTTTATTTTCTTCTTTTTCTTCTTCTTTTTCTTCATTTTCTTCTTCAGAACTTTCTTCATTTTCTTCTTCAGAACTTTCTTCTTTCTCATCAGTAGGATCATGATAATCATATACTTGTTTTAATTCTTTTCTAGATATTGCATAGAAAATAGTTCCAATTAATAATGCTGGTACAAGATATAATAATGCTGGTTGTCCATGTGCAAATGTGTGCATAATGACAAATGTAATTAATAATCCAATGAAATATGAAACCATAGAGACCATGAAATATTGACTCTTGTTATTGAAAGAAGTATCTATTCTTTTCATTAATGCAATAAAAATACCTGGGATAGCAATATCACCAAGTCCAAGAATTGAAACTTGCTCTGTGAAGATGAATCGTCCATCCTTAGGGAAGATAAATTTGATTGGTCCATCAACATGAGTTGCTACTGTCATCATAACTTCACTTCCAAATACCCAAAAGATATCATAGCAGAAAAGTGCAATTAACATAATTGCCGCAATTTTAAATGATGGTGCTGTAAGTTCTCCAATAGCAACAATTGTTAAACAAAATGCAAGGAAGTTATTAAAGATCCAATGGTGAGTAATAGCCCATATTAATGAAAATATAAATCCAACTCCTGTCCCAAGAATTTCTGATTTAGATGTTTCAATTTTATAATTAATGTATGGGATACTGATAACTAACTTCTCTGGAGATGCATATTTCTCAAATATAAATGAAAACAATTCACTTATTCCAACTGCCCCAATAAACATAAAATAAAGTGTTAACAAATATTGTAAATAGTCCGCAGAAATGAATTTAATGATAACGTATAATCCAAATAATACAAGACTTCCTATTACTGGCATTGATGCCGCATTCTTTAAATCCATAGATTCTGTTGTTTTCTCTCTAATTGCTTTTTCAGCTCTTTGTGCACCAAAGATTAATGGTAAAATTGGAGTAACAAATAATCCAACACTAGAAATGAGTTGATAGAATGTTGAAATTAATCTAACAATTTATATTGATCGTCTTTTCTTTTTTCTTTTTTTTTCTTTTTTTTTCTTTTTCAGTATTTTTTTAATACCTTGTTGGTAATGTCGTAAATCATTTCTAATCAATAAGTATTTCAGAAGTTTAAAAGGGTTTTTATTAACAAGATCACTTTACTTAAAGAGATGTCTGATTCTTGGTTAACCAACTTTCAACAAGTAATCCTTTATTTTCCTTCATTAACTCAAATCAAAGAATTAATGTTAATTTCTCGTCGTGCACAAGTGGCCGTTTTAACAATGGCCAACTGCCCGTACAATATTATGTCACATAACACACCAATTGAAGTTAGTACGTTTTTTACTAGATTAAAAATTTTAAATTTTCCATCAAATTATAGCACATTACAAGCCAAAACTCTTCCAACAACTCTACCACTTATTTTTAGAGGTATTGATTCACGATTTTTTCAACAATTTTTATTCAGTCGATTTGGGCAACATATTTTGAGAGTTAGTTTACAGAAAACTTTTATTACCAAATTACCAAATTATATTCATTTATTAGCTAATATTAAAACACTTGTATTGCTAGAATCTTATCACCCTGAAGTAACTTTAATTATGGAAAAAACAACAGCACAAAAATGTATTTTATATTGTGGAATAGTTGAACTCAAATCTATTGTTTCTCGAATTAATTTTAAAAAAAATTCTATTTCAAAATTCATATTTATTGTAGAGAAATGTGTTTATGCAGAAGAGCTTACTAATGTATATAAAGATATACCTTCTAAACATCAAATATATGTAAATTTTTTATCTTATTCAACAAAACAATTTTCATTTATTCCAAGATTAAGAGAACCATTTATAACTTCTATTCTTACTGATTTCATTGATAAAGATGAAAAATTTATTAATAAAACAATTAATAAAGCACAAATTCAATCAATAAAAATTATTGATACAATTAAAGAAATAGATTATTGTAGTCAAAATTCATTTAATATTAATTTTGATTCTGTTAAATCTGTTCATATTGCTTGTATACAATCTTCACCATTTATTATTGGAAAGAATGTAAAAAATTTAATAGTTGAAGAGTTTCATGGACCTTTATTATGTGATGAAGCACAATTACAAAACATAAACATAAAAAAATATTTTAAAGGTTCACTATTTATTGACGATACTAAATTGAAGCATATTTCAATTTCAGAATTACTTTTTGTGGTTTGGAAACATTGTAATGAATCTATGAAAAATACAATATTTATTTCAAATTTATTACTTAATTCAAATCAAATGAATGATATTGGTACACCATCAAAGAATATTAAAGTAATATTTGAATGTGATAATTCTTTTGTTCTTCCATGTTTTGATCATATTTTCTTTGGAAATAAATCATTATCAATTTCATTTGCTCATTTTAATACTTTACATTTTAATACATTTGTAATTGACTCATTAACTGCATCATATTGGATAGGAGAATCTGTTGATTTTTCTTGTATTAAAAGAATATCATTAAAAAGTTGTACAATTAAACAATTACTCTTTCAGAAAAATATTTTTGAATCAATTGAATTAATACATTGTAGTATAGGATCTATTATTATTAGTTCTTCTAACCTAATTAATTTAGAAAGATCAATGTTCCAATCTATTATTATTGAATGGGTATCATGCTGTACAATGACACAAATTAAAAGTGTATTATGTCAATTAAAAGAATGTTCATCATTTATTAAGAAAGATTGTTTGTTTAAAAAAATAGAATGTAATTTAAATTATTCTAACTAAATTCTTTCATTTATAATTCCATTAATTTTACTTCTTAATGCATTCAGCATATCCTGACTCTCTCATATTTTCCATTGAACAAAGTCTTTGTTTTCTGCAATTTCCTTCACAAGAATTTGGTAATTCAGTTGAAAAATGTTTCATAAATTTACTCCATGCAATGTTATCATTCTTTAGCATATAGTGTAATCTACCAATTTCAGAATTACCAAGATTAACTAACCCATATTCTTCTTGAGTATTATAACTTTTGACCCAAGTATATTTATGTTCTGCATTACATTGATCAAGATTAAGATAATATGTTGTATAATCAATAATATGTTTATCATTAAATTTATATAGTCTTAAAGAAGGGTTTGATCCTTTTGGAGTCATTGCTGGATTAATAATTACACTATAAAATGGATCTTCACCAGGATATAAACGATACCCTTCAATATGGTTATGACCAGCTAAATGGCCAATAATAACATCTGAATATTCTTTATATAATTCTAGGAAATCCCGAGTGAAATATGGATTAACGTCCATCATTCCTGTAATTTTAAGTCCAATAGATTCATGAGAAATAATAATTGCTTTTTGACCTTTTTCTCTTAACACTTTTAGTGTAGCATTAAACCACATCATCATTTCTCCAGGATCTGTTTTTGGATATTCTCCAGAGTGTGAATTCATAATATCAAAATAAGCAGTTTGTAATGAAATAATATTTATTCCACTTGGTAGTTGGTGAATATAATATCCTCCTTTCTTTGTAGTAGCAATTTCTTCAGGAGATAACCAATCTTTCCACCATAAACTCATATTATTTAACATCCATTGACTTTTTGGTGGAAATGCCCAAAAAGAAGTTTCAAAATAGTCATGATTACCAATTGATGGTAATACTGTAAATCCAGGGAGTCTTCGTTTAAGCTCATTATGGAACATTTCTAAATCATTAAGATTTCTTTGTTTAGTCATTTGGAACATATCAGATGGAATAACGTCCATTAACCAAATAACATTTTTAGATATACTTTCATGAGATTTAATGAAATCCATTCCAGACATAATTGTTTCTAAAGGAGCATGACAAGAATGGTGTCCACAAAATTGTGCAGTTTCAAAATTATTTCCTTTAGGTACTGAGTCTTCATGACAACACTAATTTAAGTTAATAGATATTATTTTATTTATTGTATTATGAAAACAAACGTCAATGCTTTTACAATGAGCATATCCTCCTTCAGCAAATTTAGAATCAAAGTGTGTATCAGAAATAACCCAAATATAATCTTCAAATGAAAAACATTGTAATATAAAAATGAAAATAAAAATTTTCATTTCAATTGAAATTTTCAAGTTCTTTTTTATTTAATTTTTTAATTACTTTAAAAAATATGGATTTGAAGGTAGCACGTCAGAGACACCACACAGAACCCTAAAATATTTCCATCCTTCGATTCCCCCAGTTATGGACTGGTTATGGTGTTGCGTTTGGTTAGAAAAACATCTTACCCGGTACTGCAAGAATAGCAGTGTTTATTATGTACAATGACAGAATATCATTGACAATAAACGAATGGGTATTTATAAAGATGATATTATTAATTGTTAGAATACAAGTATTATTTGATAATATAAGAAAGATTAACAAAAGAAAAGGGTCAAGTGGTTGAGGCTAAAAGAATATTAGCCCAAAGCAATACAGTAGTAATTATATGCTCTCCTTAAAATAAGAAAATAAAGAAGAAGAAATTTAAACCCATAGAAATTAAAAAGAAATTTAATAATGAATATCTAAGTAAGGGATGTTTAAAATACTCTATTCCACACTAAAAATGAGAAAAGAAAATTCTCACCGTTCAACAACTAAAAGCAAAGAATAAGCTAATAGTTGAAGAACAAACACTTTTAGGCGAAGGGACGGGATTAGTCTCCCCTGAGCAAGGAACAATAGACACAAGTTCTATTAATACTTAATTAACTACTTTTTATTAATTACTTTAAAAAATATTAAACTATTGGTATATATTACAATTTTTTTTTTGAATAATAAATAAATGAGATTCATTTCACTTTATACAATAATTGTAAACGATCAAGTACTTGCTCTATGACTAAACGGTCTTTAGGATTTTGTTTCCAACAACCACAAATAAGTTTGTATATAGGTTCAGGTATTTCATTAATTTGTTGTAACCTTTTACCAGAAATAACAAAATCAGCAATATTCCATATATATACAAATTTTTCTCTATCATAAGCCTCACCCCACTTAAAACATTCATACATTGTAACTGCAAATGAATAAATATCAGCCTCTTTTTTATAATGTTTTTGACTTAATAATTCTGGTGCCATATAAACGGGTGTTCCTATTCCTTTTGTGAATGTCATATTTGTCATTAATGTATTTATATTTCTTGAACTTCCAAAGTCTGTTAACTTACAATTAATTTGAACGTCTTCAGATAGAAACAAAACAAGAATATTATCTGGTTTAATATCACGATGTAATATTCCATTGACATGAAGGTATTGAATTCCATTAGCAGCATCTATCATAAATTTAATTCTTAATTTAATAGGAATAGCTTCCTTTTTTAGACTAAACAAATTTCTTATACTTCCATGTTCTGCATATTCAGTAACCAAATACCTTTTATTTTTAAATAAAACTGATCCATAGAAATAAATAATATAATCACTTCTAAATTTATCTAACATTGAAACCTCTTTCTCAAATTCTTCTTTAATTTTTATGTTGTATGATCTATCTTTCATATCTTTAATAGCAACTGTATGTTCTCTAAATCTTCCTTTAAAAACAATTCCACTAGTTCCTTCTCCAATTTTATTGTCAAATATAATTTCATCTATATCTAATTTTGTTGTAATTTCTGTTTCTCCTTTAAATTTAAGATATCCGACTTCTTCTTTACCACTATTAATTGATTGACAAACAATAGTTATTTTATCATTTAATTTTGAACTACATAAAGGTGTGACTGTTAGTTTAAACTCACACGCCTCACCTTTTTTCAATAAGATGATAGTAGGATCCATTTCAATCAGAAACTTTCCATTCTTTTTATTTAATACAATCTGAATCTTAATTAAAGATGAACTAAAATTTCCTAGGTAGAAATATGATACGCACGGTTGTTGTACTTTAATTAAAATATCATGATCTTCTAATAAAAGAATATCACAATTACATTGAATCCATTTATTAATTCGATACTTAAAATTTATTGAACTTTCTTTTATTTTAAATATAGTACAATGAAGATGTTGATGATGTTGAACAAGAAAATGTTGATATCTGTTAATAATACAATAAAAAAGTATTAAAATAAACATAAAGAGACAAAGGATGAATAAAACTATTATCATAACCAACCACCATACTATATAAGATGAACAATAAGTTCCATCATCACTAGGACGATACCAAAAACTACATTTTTGACATTTTGATTTGAAGAATAATTTTACAATGATTAATTCCCTCTAATGAAATACATCTTGATCTGCTAAATACTAACTCTTCATTACAGGAAGTACATTCATTATATTCGTTACAAGTACGACATGTTTTATTACATTGTTTGCATATATTAATGTCATGAAAAAATCCATCTTTACATTGTGTACAACCAAATTGAGTAATTTCTACTGCACATCCTTGTAGTGTATTTTTTGGTAAACAACTTCCATTATAATGTTGATAACAATCATCAGCACATGTCAAACAATGTTCATAAAAACATGTTTTACATTCAATAGGACATTTGATACAATCAAATTCATTTAAAAAATAACCATCTTTACATAATGAACATCCACCTGTAGGAGTAAAAATACTACATTTTCCAATTAATTCATTATTTGATTTACATTTGTGGTTGGATAAAAATGAAGTAGAATTACATGTTAAACAATAATTTTCTGATGAACATGTTTGACAATTTTCACAAACACTACACATATTTTGTTTTGTCAGATAATATTTATCTTTACATCTTCTACATGGCATTCCTTGATAATATTTTTGACAATACCTATCTCTAAAATTACATGAAATTCCATCAAAATACATTAAATCTTCACATTTAATACATTCATTTCCATTATATAAAACACAATTATCAATTGGTTCAACACAACGATGATTAATATCAAGTACTTTATTTTCACTACATCCTTGACATATACCATTTTGTATTATATTACAGTTTTGTTCTAATACACATTTTCCATCACTAATGAAATATCCATTTTCACATCTTTTACATCTCCCTTTCTCACATAAAATACAATGAGAATCAAAAGATAAACAAGAAATACATTTATTAAATGATAAATAATAGCCATCTTTACATTCAAATTTATTTTGTTTATTTGAATCAAAAACACAGTCTTCTTGATTAATATAAGAATGAAATGAACATTCTAAACATTTTGTATTTGTACAAAACTCACAATTATTATCACTACATCCTTGACATTTAAATGATGGATTTAAATACCCAAAAGAACATTGAACACATCTATTAACAATAGCAACTAAACAATCTGATTCTATTAAACAATTTCCTTCATAAAGAATATATCCAGATTCACATAATATACAAATTCTTTCATTTGTTTTTATATTAAAAAGATCCCAAATACAATTAGAATAAATACTTTGAATTAAATCAAAACCTGAAGGAATATCATCATCTTTAATACATATTTTGTTCACTATTTTATATTTTTCAAAACAAACAAGACAATAACAAATTTCATTGACACATTCAATGACATAACAGTTATTTGTTGATTGGTTTTGATTAATAATCATAGGAGTGTTTGTAATAAGAACATATTTTCCAGATATTGATTTAATTGATGAATTTATTGATTTTATTAAAACAACAACTTCTTTTAATGACTCAATTGTCAAATTAATATTCTTTAAAGAGAGGATTGACTCAACAACTGCATTATCAGAAATAGTAAGTTTTGCTTGTCCACCTTTAAAAAAACTATCAATACTTAATGTATTAATGAATGAAGTATAGTTGTAAGTAAATTGAATACTAAAAAAATTTGAAGAATGTACATCAAATAATTGTATTCCATTACCAAATAGAATAAAATTACATTCTTTAATTATTTGAATTTTAATAGAACATTTAATACAATAGAAGTATAGCTCTCTAATTTTTATTAATGAAAGAATAATTAAAGAATGTGATGAATAAATATTTGTATTTGGTAAATTCATTAATTGAAAGTCAACATAATCAACATCTATTATTAAAGAACACTCTTTATTTAATTCTTCACATGGGCAATGAGGAAAAGTAAAAGGATACGAATAATCTGATAAAGACAATGATGATTTATATATTGTTCCATTCATATGACATTTCACTGAATAATCAAATGAAATCGAAGAAGAACAATATCGAATAAGACGTTGATTACTAACTAATTGAATGGTATTGTCAAGAATAGGAAAATCAGTTGATAAATAATTATTTGAACTAGAATCAGTATTTAATATAGATGAATCTATTAATGAAAATATATCAATACATCCATTAAATGAAGTTGGAACAATAATATTAAACTTTTTTTTATCTAGTTGTAAACTATTACATTTCCATCCTTCGAATAATGGAACATTGTCATTATTTGGATAAATAATCATTGAACCAAGTATATGCCACTGTCCATTCGCAATAATTTTTGCTCCTTTATTAATTGTTATTGTACTTTCAATTTGTATATTTCCATTTACTGTTAATAAAACATTCGAATTAAGTTCAACTGATGTAAAAATCATAAGGTATTGTGATGTTAATGTTACACTTGAATAAATAAATAATTTACCAAATGAAAGAACATTATTCCCTTGAAACTTTGTTTCCCAATCTCCATATAATATATAATCACATCCATCTCCACTATAAGTACATTCTTTATCTAATTTTTGAGTATCAGAATAAATAACACATTGACACCCATTCGTTAGACATATAAAAAAAAATATTCCAATTAGTGGCGTCACACTTGTGATCACCATGATTAAGATTTTATTTTTTTTTGTGTTTTTTATTATTCTTTTCTTTTACAAACCTATCTCTTTCTTTTATTTTTCGTACTTATTTATTGAAAATTTCTCCATTTTATAAATAGATTTTTATCAAAAAACATTTTATGATTGACTTTTGTTTTATGATTAAAGTATTTTTTTGAGAAGTTACAACAACTACTTCCTCTATACCAACCCCATAGCTCTAAACAATAAATTGTCATTGGTTTTGAAGTAAAGAATAATTTTTTACTATAATTTAGTTTTAAAGGTGACATTAAAAAAATTAAAAAGAACAAAAAGATTGATATATTAATAGTGCACTGATATAGTACATTTTGTTAATATGAAACTAAACATAATCATTAATTTGAATAAAGATCAATTTTATGTTTTATTGAAAAAACCCTGTCAAAAATTTTAATTATATATTCAAACTAAGATCTAATCTTATTACTATGTCAGCCGTTCATCTTACTCAATCTTATATCAAGTCATCTCAAAACACTGAGATACAATTCAATGTTTTTGCACAAAAATACCAACACATCCGTAGTCTTGGAGATAAACCACTGTTTAAATTCATTAAAGCTGATGGAAATGAACCAGCCATAGAATACAATTTATTCGAATTTCAAGATAAGGTAGACACAATCTCATCAGCACTCTACACAACACTTCATTTAAAGAGAAAAGATGTTATTGCTATATATTTACCCAACTGTATCCCTTTCATTATTATGGAAGCAGTAATAGAATCTTCTGGATTTATTATGATGCCGTTCAATCCAACATACACTTCTGATCAATTATCTCGTTTATTCCCTCGAGTAACACCAAAACTAGTTGTTACTATAAAAAGATTCCTTCCAAACATTCGTAATTTTAATAAAGAAGTCAAAGTACTATTAGTTGATGCTTCACAAGAAGAAATAAATTCTATGAATGACTCTTATCTTTATTCATTTTCTTCTCTATTACAAGTACCAATTAATAAAGAACTTCTTCAAAATGAAAGAAATCAAATTCAACCAGAAGATGAATTGTTCTATGGTTGTACTTCTGGATCAACAGGAGTTCCAAAGATATGTGTTTATACAAATAGAGAATTTACAGGAAATATTGTTTCAATTAGTTCTCAAGTTCCACCAGATGAACGAAAAACATTAGCTTTTATTCCTTTTTTCACTACTACAGGACATATTGTATTATCAACACTTATACTAAAAGGATATTATCATGTCTGTATGGATAAGTTTAATACTGAAAAGGTTTATGAAATTGTTCAAGAAAATAAAATTACTAATATTTCTGGTGCACCTTCTGCTTTTATGGCAATACTAAAACATCCAAATAGATCTCATTATGACCTTTCTTCGTTGAGAGAAGTTATTATGGGAGGAGCTGTAGCATCAGATTCTTTTATTGAATCTTGTAGACAAAACCTTCATTTAGAATTTTGTTGTAGTGGGTTCGGAATGACTGAACTTTGTGGGTTAATGTATAAAATGCCATCTAAAGCAACCCATATTCCTGCTGGTCCAGTTGCTCATTATGAAGTTAGAGTAGTTGATCATGAAACGAGAGAAATTTTACCTATTGGACTTGCTGGAGAATTAGAAGTACGTTCTCCTATAATGATGAAAGAATATTTGAATAATCCTGAGGCTAATAAACAAGCATTTACTGAAGATCGATGGTTTAGAACTGGAGATGAAGCTGTTTTAGAAGAAGATGGATTTATGAGAATTACTGGAAGAGTTAAAGAAATGATTATTAGAGGAGGTCATAATATTTGGCCAGCTGAGATTAATGATACCTTAATTAAACACTCAAAAATTCAAGAAGCTGCAGTTATTGGAATTCCAGATAAAATTCAAGGAGAAGCTGTTGTGGCTTTTGTTGTTATTAAAAAAGATTGTTCTTTTGATAATCTTGAAAAAGAGTTAAAAGAATTTTTGAAAGATAAACTTGTTCCATTTTCTATTCCAACTTATATATTTGCTATTGAAGATATGCCTAGAACATCTTTTGGTAAGGTTTATGCTCCAAAATTAAAGGAAATTGTTAAAGATTGTATTAAAAAGAGATGGGAAGCTCTTATTCAAGAAAATCATAATCCAGTGTTAACTCAAGAAGGAAAAGAAATTGCTCAATTATGGGCAGATATGTTTGATATTCCAATTAATGCATTATCAAGAGATTCTAATTTCTATAACTGTGGAGGAGATTCTTTTGTTGGATCTCAAACAGTTACTATTGTTAGAAAATATGTTAAAGATGCACCATTTAATTTATTAATATGTAAACAAACCCTTGGCGAAATTGAAGATTATATTGCCCATCCAAATGAAAATATTATTGATACTGGTAAAATTCTTAAAGAGGATATTGAAAAACTAAACCAAATGAATGAAGAAGAATTATTTGGAACAGAACAATACAATGAAGAAAATGAAAATAGAGACGCTGTTGTGATTACTGGTGCATGTGGATATCTTGGAGTTTATATTGTTGATGCTGTAGCTAAGAATGAAAAGATTAAAAAAATTTATTGTATTGGAAGGAGTGTTGATTTGTCAGAACTAAATAAGAAAATGATATCGATGATGAGAAATGCAGGTTTACAAAAGAGTGAGAAAATGGAAATGATTGTTGGAGATGTTTCTAAAGACCATTTTGGTATTGAAAGCACAAAGTATAACGAAATGAGAGAAAGAAGTCAAGTCATTATTCATTGTGCAGCTATTGTTAATTGGAATAAATCTTATTCACAACTAAAAGAAACAAATGTTGGTGGTGTAATCAATGCAATTAAATTTGCAGGGAAGTCTGTTATATGTAGTTATATTTCTACTATTGGAGCTGCATTAAATCAAAATGAAACAATTTCAGAACAACTTCCTGTTTCTTCATTTGGTTATATTCAATCAAAATGGATGGGTGAAAAGGTAATAGAGAAAGCAATAAAATTTGGTTATCATGTTAATATAATGAGGCCTGCATTTATTGTTGCAGATTCAAAAAAAGGTATTTGTAATACTGATGACTTTATCTATAAATTTATCCGTGTTTGTGTTATGAACAATATTGGATTATCAGGACCAGCTTTAGATCTTACTCCAGTAGACAAAGTAGCAGAAGCTATAGCAAAGAATTGTATGGTCAAAGGTAAAATTATTAACTTACTTCCTCAACAACAAGTCCACACAGAAAAAATCTTTTCTATTTATAATTCTCTCAATCATTCAATTCCTATTTTCAATTATGATGATTGGATAAATAAATTTACTGAAATTGCTCATTCTGGATGTACAGATGCAATCAATTTAATACCTTCACTGTATGTATTAAAAATACAAGTCCAACTTCAATCTAATTATTTGAAAGAAACAAACCAACAAATGATTCTCAACTTTAATGACGAAATGATATCTTTGAACTTGAATAAATTAAGTAAAATAGGGTTCTTCACTACCTCTTGTAAAGGGTTCATTTCTCGTTCTAAGTAATTGAATCATTTGTTAATATTTTTAACCTTAACTATAAGAAAGGATATTATTGATTGTATTAAAATTCATTTTTTAATCAACTTTAATCAATTTATTATTTAATCGAAGTTTAGAATTGAAAAATAATAAGAATAAACATTTCTTATTGTTATTGATTTATATTATGAAAAGAAGTATTCATTTTTTATAAAACTAAATTGCTTTATAAACAATATTAAATTTAAAACATAAAAAAAGATTTATTCATTTAATAAAATATTATCTGTTACATAATAATTATTGATAATTAATAAGGCATTAATTTAGTTATTTGTATCAATATTCCCAATGATTCTTTTTGTTTCTTCAACATCATCAATTATTTTTCTTAATAATTTTTTCTTTTCAATTAGTTCCTCTTTTTCTTTATCATTTAATTCGCATTTATGTTGAGAAAGATAATGTTCAAATAAATTTTTTAACTTAGTGCATTCATGAACTCGACATTGTACTTCTTCTAATTCTTTAATTTCTTTTTTTATAATATCCAAATAATTATCTGAGAAACAATTATTGTTTAATGAAATCTCTTTTTCTAATTTAAAAATTTGATGATTACCTGACTCATTAGAATATTCAATTGCTCTTAAATAATTTCTGATAATCCAGTTGTATTTATACTGACCTATTCTTTCATCTTTTTGTACTTTACTAGAATTCTGGAAAGGAAATACATAATTATCATTATCATCTATAACAATGTCATATGGTTGGTAACAATAGAACCATCGTTCTAATCCAATAGAAAGATAATTTGAATGTATTATTTCATCTTTAATAATTCCAATACAATTTTGATTAATTTTGACTTCATTAATAATTGACTTATTTTTATTTTCAACAATAAGTTCTCCGTTTCTTGTTAATTGATCAATTTCTGGATATAAAACATTACCAACTTGAATACTTTCTTTATTAATGAAACGTTCAATAGATAAATATAAGAAGTTTTCTTCTATCTCTTTTAATAACCTTAATTTTGTTCCTACTTGTACTGCCACTAAAGCAGCTCCTTTAGCAATAACACATTCTTTATTCATTGTATTTTTTATATTTAAATGAAGTTTATTTTCAATAACAGTTTTAATACAATCTAATCGAGAACCACCTCCAACAAATTCTATATCAGTTAAATTTAAATTAATACGTTTTTGAGTTATTTCAATAGCACTTTGTACTAATAAACAAATAGCTTTATTATATTCTTCAAACCAACTTTCAAACTCAGTTTTAGTTATATTTTCAGTAAATTCATTATTATTATTTAATTCAATTTTTAATGTTGACTCAAGTACATTTTGACTTGAAAAAGAGAATTTAAACTTATTAATATCTTCATAAATCTTGTTATAAAATATTACCTTCTTTTCTTCATCTAAGGATTGTAGAATTTCTTTTAATTCTTCTTTTTCATTCATTAATTCAATACATTTATTTTTAATTATATAACTATAATCTCTTCCTCCAATATTTATAGTTTCATTTGATATAATTTCTAATGAGTTATAATGAAATCTAAATACTGAACAAGTCGTTTCAGAATCTCCAACATTAAGAAACATTTGTGTAGTTTCTTTATTATTTATTGTAATAAATGATGTTATATCATATGTCCAATAGTATAATCCAATACAAACACAATCTTCAACGCATTGTAAACAAGGTATTTTAGCTAACTCACATGCATATTCAATACATCTTCTATCTTGAAATGAATAATTAGATGATACTGATACAACACAATAATCTGACTGTGTTATTTCTTTTATCATTTTAAACATTTCAACAAGCATACTTTCGATATGAATAATACCAATATCACCACATTGTAAAATTCCATTTTCATCACATTGAACACTTGAAAATTTATTTTCTTGAATTTTTGATTCAATGCTATGAACTTGAATTAATTTTTTTAATCCAACAATACAGTTTTTTGGCCTTCTTTTAATTTGACTTTCATTTCTATCAACACCACATCGAATTTCTTTTTTTATACATGATATACAATTCGAAATTGAATGTTTTCCTATTGGTGAATCAATTATATCAACTCCTCCATTGCAGTACTTTCCAATGACTATATTTTCATTTCCAAAATCAATCCCTATAATGCTATATCTTTGTTTTCCTTTTTGTTGACTTCTATACATCTTAAAATAATCTCGTTTTTTTTAGTTCATTTTATAATTCTTATTTACTTTCACTAAAAAACAACAAAAAATTAAATTCATTCTGTTGATATTAAATGTTCTACTGGAACACACGATAAATCCAAACTTGCTTTACAACAAATAAATTGTCCTGTTGCCATTTCTTTTGCAATTGGATAATCAACAATACTGTTTGGCTCTGCAAAATCAAATCTTGCTGAAACACTACTTGAGTTAAACCGTTGTAAAGCTTCAGTACATTTTTGAGGAGAGTCATATTTAATAAAACCTTCGCTAAATAATAAGTATTAGTTATTTCTTTTAATATTCAGTATTATATACAAACGATGGGGATAACATCTCAATTGCTTGTACTTGTATTTTAATTGAATTAAATTCAGAAATAACAGTTCCAATATCACTCCAATTGGATAGACCATAAAAGAATAACGTGTCAGTCTGTAGTGGATTCATCAAATATTATTTTCTTAGTATTTTTATTTAAAATGAACTAATAATAAAATGTATAATTTAAATATAATTAAGAATCTTAAAGAAATTAATGAGTCATAAATGAACTTATTAAGTTAATATGAACAATCCTCAAATTGAAGGAAATACTTCAATAAAAAAACAAAAAAAGAACAAACGTAGAAACGGAAAACAAATATCCCCATTAAAAGAAGAAAGAATAAATTACTTATTTTCTATTTCTTCATTAATGACACAATTTCATCCCGTTACTGGACAGCACTGTGGATTGTCTATTCGAAATTTAGCTCATAAGTATGTTTCAAGAATATCTAAACCATGGAAACGAAGGTATTGTACAAAGTGTTGGATGCCATTAACTTATTCATCATTTAAAACACAGCGTTTGTTTTTTTTGTTTTATTTAAGTTGTATGACTAAGTACATAGTAATAAATGGTAAAT